ATAAATTATATATATATGTATATATATATATATATATATATATATATATACACACACACACACACATATATATATATATATGTTGTCTTAAAGGTATGCAGGGCCTTATAGGTAGTCAATGGCATCAAAGAGGATCATGCAGATCAAGTTGATTTTAAGAAAATATATTAGTATAATTTGGTAGCAAATACAATACAAACTAATTTAAATAAACTCAAGACAGAATGTATTTCCTTCTAAAATCAGAAGATCCAAGAGCACTCTTTTGAGGCAAGATTGAAACCCAAAACCGATGTCCTGAGGGGCCTCCTCTCTCCATCCAACAGGCAAAACAAGAAAATGGAACCAGACGCTCTGTGCATCTTGGTGTTGTTTTTGTTCTCAGGCAAGATCTCCCAAAGGAGACAAAGATGCCCAGCCTCAAAGCCAGCCATCTCAGACGTCACGAACCCTTTCTGTGGTGAGGACTTGCATATCCAAGCTTGAGTCCACACCCTCCCTCTGGTGAGATGAAGGCAACAGTGATTGGCCAGACCTGGTTCACCTGCCACTAAATCATATCGACCTGAGAAAGGGGAGAGAGTAAACCCTCAACAAATGGGTTTACAGAAAACATGTAGCCACCACGAAATATGATCGCTTCCCAACTCTCAAGGAGCTCATAGAGAGGAGGGAAGACAAGGCCTACAGATGTGGGAAGTTAAGTAGAAACTATAAAACAACAATGAATTTGATAATTCTATTGAACACTATTGATTTAGATATCTGCCAGGCACTGTTTTCAGTGAATATAAAATACATATATAAAGATATATATGTTTACATATATACATATATACACAAATGCATCATATATTATGTGTCTATGGTTTTCCTTTACAATGATCTTACAAGAGAGAGATAATTTTATTTTGCTTTTAGACATGAGGAACTGAGGCCAAGGGAGGTTAAGATCACACTCTTAGAAAGTAGCAGAGGCTGGATTAGAACCCAGGCCTGACTGCAGAGTCTTCAGGAACTGCTATGCTGATTTTACATGGGAAGTACCAAGTGAGAAGAGCAAACAAACAAATAAGTAAATGCTAATGCTGTGCATTCATGTATGGCCCTTACTTTTCATATCAGATATTATTAGGACATAAAATTATATGGAGCAAATTTTTAGCTGATGAAATAACTTTGTATGTTGCCATTCTATATGCTTCATGGCTTTTCAATTGCTCCAGAATCCTCCTCTTCTGCTCAGGTAATGAATAGCTCCTGCTCTTCTTCATTCCACAAACTTCCTCTTGGCCCAGCTTCAGCCCCTCACCAATACCTATGGCCCTGACTTTGAGAATGTCCTGGCTTTGAGAAGCCCTGAGTGAACCATGTAGAATACACAGACTCTGCAAATTCCATTCGCAGAAAGACTGAAATTGTGAGATACAAGCAGAGGTTGTAAGGTTCTGAGATGAATGAAGAGATGAAGCCAGGCATGGATATAAACAATGCATTGTGCAATCCTGCACACCATGGAGTGAACTTTAATGATCCCCAAGTTAGTAATTATAAAAAGTTTAGTGTTTACATTTCATGTTTATTAAATAGCCAGACTTAATTTCTTATTCAGCTTATCACAGCATGAATAGAAACATTTTACAATATACTAGTATTAAGAAGTTATATAAAAGAACATAGTTGCAACACAAAGACATTCATGCCCAGCAAATTCCTAAATCAATATTTCCTGTCCCATGGGGCCTCCTGGGCAGAAGACAATGAATAATTTGCCTTGATTGAGTAACACTAGAAGATTCTAGGCCTGGGTTCCATTTTCGTGCTTTGCCTGTTGGATGGGTAAATATTGCCTGTGGTGTGATATTTTCCCATTTGTTATCCAACAGTTTAGCAAGCTTTGGAGTAGCCAGTGAAAATGTGTTCTGCAGAGACCAATAATACCAATATTATTAGACAGCTCTGCCTTATAAAAATTCTAACGGAATTGTCAGGGGCTGTTAGGTATATGGTAGTGAATGAAGTTGGCAATTCTTAGTATATAATCAACCAGTCATTCATTCTGATTATTTGCACTATTAAGACAAAATATTTTTACTCTTCAATGAATTATGTATAACAAGCATTATTTATCACAAAATTAATTGAATTGGAGATAATCTTCTTTCTAAGACCCTTGGAGCAATTAGTGCAATAGATTATGTTCTTAGCTTCCTTATGAAAATAGGTGTCAGAGTGATATCATAAGAAAGAGAAAAATGAGTATAATTTTTTTAAATTCTTTCCTTCCATTTTAAAAGCAAAGGATTTGGCAAGAATGAGTTTTTCTTGAGACATCTGTCTCTAAATGCCTGATGGCCATCATGTGTTGACTGTTTCTGTAGCTTAGCTAAACACACCAATAACAATGCTTTACCTCCTGAAGAGAGTTCTGTGGATCATCAGCCTTTTGAAAGGTCCTTATTTACACCTGTTTTATAGGTAAGACTCACAGCTCTCCATAATGATTCAGCTAGACTTCCTTATACTGGATCACTCTATGAATTCTAATGTCCTACCTTGATTACGTTTCTTGAAAAGGACTTGAATCATGAACTGAGTGTCTCTTAAAAAAATAAAAATAAACAAACCAACTATAAGCAAGGAAACTGTTCCAATGATGTTGCAGTAAGAGTTGACCAATAGCTGGATGCTTTTTTCCTCATTGTGTGATCTCCTTCTCTGAAGCACATTAGGGCCAATGAGCACCGAACACTAGTACTAGGTCCTACTCAGCACAGCACTAGGTCCTCTCACCACTAGGTTGCAATGACAGATTTAAGAAGCCATCCAATAGCAATGATCAGGGAAAATCTCAAGCAAGCTGTTATCCAAGGATAGCTGCTGGACTGAGGTGAGGTTGCAATCAAGAGTTCTCTTTTTAATTCTACTCCCTTTCCCGAAGCTCATGCATTCTTCTTCTACAGCTCATGTATATCCCTTTACTTGAGAAGTGACTTGGAGATAGAGAGAAAACTGATATTTGGCACTAGATATCAGTATATAAAAGGATTTCAGGCAGAACCAGTAGACTAGAGCTGGATACACCGATGTTCCTGCCACTTACCAGCTCCGGAGTCTTACTTATGCAGGCGTCACTGTGCTCCTTTAAGAAATGGGATGATACGCTTATTTTAAGGTGTAACATACAAAAAGTACCCAATGCAAAGGAGGCAAAATATATTGCCCGCCTTCACCTTTTATGCCATGTACTACCATTTCTAAATGCCACTTGTTTTCACTGGGCTTGACATTACTTGCAAAAAGGAACAAATCAAATCATGCTTGGAAGCTACGTATCATCATTTTCATCAACCATTTCTAAAGCCCAAGTATAACAGGCTCCATAATGAAGGTACCACACTCATAGCCCAAATAGTACAACCTGTATTATATTTTACAGTCCACATTTCATTTACTTTGATGCTCAAAAACTAATCCTGAGACATAGTGGTCTAGTACCTGAGAGTCATAGAATTACAGAGCTAAAGGGGGCCTTGGAGATTATTCATACAATCTCCTCATTTTATGTTTGAGTTAACGAAACACTGGAAAGGTCAGGTGACCAGCAAAAATTAAGACCCAGATACCCTGGTTTATACTAGTAGTCCAGTGCTTTCGTTACTTCCCTGTCTGCCTCGTAACCGAATTTAAAACAAGGATCTATACTGGCAAAAGCCTTTGAACTTTCATTGGGCCAAGAGGTGATGGTAAAGAGTTCATTCTTCTATCTATTCCAGAACTCCCAATTTAAACTGAAGATTCTGAACCCTTGTTCTTGCTACAATTGTAAATCTCAAAAAGATTTTGTAAGTATTAGAATGACTATTACAGAAAATAGAAAACCACTAAAGGACTTTAAGCAGGACAGTGACATGATCAGATTTGTGGATGGTGGAATACGGAGGATCTGGGAGACAGACCAAGGCCTCTGCTTAGTTTATTCCTTCCATCATTCATATCTCTATCCCACAGTGCTTACTCTATACCTATAATCTGTTGAGCATACAGTGATCACAAAGCTTAGATTCTAGTGAGAAAGAGATGATAAAAGACTAACCAAATGAACAAAATGTTTGCAGATTGTGATAAGGTGTAATGAAGGGTATTAACTGCAGGCTGTGTGATAGGGAATATTGGGGGAAATGAGAACCTGTTTAGATTGAATGAGCAAGAGAAAAAAAACTTTGTGCAAAACTTAGAGAAAAAGGAACAGCAATTGCAAATATTCCTGAGACTGGTGTGTTTTAGGAATTAAGAGAAAACCAGTTTGG